GGGAATGAGGTAAAACTTCCTTGGCTAAAGTAGAATTTCCTACTTATATATCAAAGCCAAAACTGTAGGCCTACTAATTAAAAGATGCTATTTTTAAGTAGCCCAGGCTATTACTCATACTCACAGCAGTTTTTAATGAGATTGTATTAATCCATATGATAGTACAGATTACAAAATCATGAGAGTAAATCTTTATTTTCTTAACCCTATCCGTACATCGAGTTTTAGTATCGTATCCATACGACGTGGGAAACTCTGTGCAACCACTTCCACAGAGGAAATTTACTTGTTAATCCGATCTGTACGCTTTGTATAGCAGTCTGTCAAAATGATTTTTTGAGAAATACTGAAAGTTTCAAAGAGATCTTTGTACTAGAATTATTCTACAATGAGAAGAATACAACCCCGGGGGTACAAACTAACCCAAGGGCGTACGGATAGAGTTAAAAATGTACCATATATCGTGCCGTACAGGATGCAACTTTTTACTTTAAAAAATCACTATATATTTCAAAGTCACTGTACTTTTTATCCTTGAGTTCCGAAATTAATTTTTATCAGCATTGACGACAATGCGTGCAAAACTTTAAATTACTCATTTAGGATATTCTTTTTACAGTGAACCATCTTGTGCTCTGTCTTTCCTGGGACTCGCATAACACTGTTTTTAAACAAAAAGACAGGTCGAATGGCTAAAACTCAAATGGCCGCTGGATCGGAAAAGTAAAGTAAAGTAAAGTTTAACATTAAGAAAAAGTGCATCGTTTCGCTTACTCTTCTCCCATCTTCATGCAGCTGGTTTGCCCGACGATGTTGTTGAAGCCACGGGCGCAGACCGGGACACTATCATATAAACTTCCAGAGTATTCATCGTACTTGGGCTTCCACACGTTCAGAAAGAAAGGACTTCCAGGATTATTTTTGAAAACTGCAAAAGAAACAAAGAGGTTTTCACAACAGCTAAAGTAACAAACATGTACAGTTTTCTCCAAAGGAAAAAGGAACAAATACAGTTTTCTAAACAGCAAGAGGAACAAATTTCTCAACTGATAAATAAACAGATGCAGTTTTCTCACCAGCAAAAGAAACAAATACAGTTTTCACTACCATACTGTACAAATATATACAGTTCTCTCCAAAGAAAAAGGAATGATCATTTTATTTTACTTGTAGGAGGAACAGCTGCAATTTTTGCAACAACAAAAAAAACCCAACAGTTTTCTCAAGTGGGGAGGCAGAAGCAGTGTCTTTTTTAGACTTCAAAAGACAAAACGAACTACGGCCAGTCAGTCTAAAAAAACAGACAGCTTAAACAAAGCAAGGACTGACAAGCTTAGAACAAAATCAAAGCAATTCCCCCATCATCTGCAGACTTTAGACTGTTGCCATTGAACAAAGAACTGAACCTAACACCTCCCCCCCCATTCCTCTCCCCCAAAACCAACCAAAACAACCCCAGAACAAACAAACAAACAAACAAAACAAAACTAAAACAAAAAAATGACGTGCTTACTGCAGTCCCTCTCATCTGTGTGGTCCGAGCACTGTGGGGTTCCGTCGCACACCTTGCCCAGAGGAATACATTCCTTTGTGCTGACACAGGTAAACTCATCTATCTCGCACCAGTCTGATCCACCAAGATAGGGGAGTAGGGGTGGGATGGAAAAGTTGGAAGGGGAAGGGGGGAGGTGATGGTGAAAGGACGATTAGGTACTCATTCGGATGAATGAGGGGTGTGGTGTGATGAAAGAGGGTAGTGAGGGTAGTGGGATGAAGGGGCGGGTTTTTTTAAATGAAAGGGTAGGGGTAGGTGGTGTGATGAAAGAGGATGATTGGGTAGTGGGATGAAGGGCTGTGTGTGAGTGTGGGGAGTGGGGGG